TATTTAAAAAATAATTAACGATTTGGTTTTTTCTCTACGAAAATATACATAAATTTCTGTTTTCAAGGAGAGAGAGAGAGAGAGAGGATTGTAAATAATATTATAAATTCAAATTATTATATTTTAATTTTTTTTAATATTTAATTATATTCTATTAATATCCTGTTTCTGGTAATTTTTCATGAATAACATGTTTCAAATTTTAAAATTCAAAGACTATTATTAATACCCGCATATGAAAACCTAAAAAACTTACATTTCAATAAATTATAAACTACATTTACTATTTAACTTAATTACGTTACCAACAATTAAAATAAACATATAATACATATTACATATTATGCTAAATATATTTAGGATATTAATACTCAATGATTTACAAATTATAAGTTTGTTTTATATCTAGCACGAGAATTATGTGTTGCAATTAGCGTTCCCAGACGTCCAGGAACGTCCTGGATTATCCTGAAAATGGTCAATTTTTGCAAAGTCCAGGGATGGGTCATTCCTGGATATTGAAAAATCCAGGAAGTAAATTTTGGACAAATGAGCTGTAAAAATCGTATTTAACAAACTAAAGGAATAGCCTAGTGTGTTTTCAATGATATTTATAGATATTGCTAACAATAGTAGTATAAACACTGATATGACCATTTTACACTATATGTTACCATTGTAAAAACTTTTAAAACAGAAGTTATATTACAAAATTCAATAAAAAATATTAGCATGTATTTTTGCAATAATTAAAAACTAGAATCCAAAAAAATCCAGGAAATTTGCCCAAAATTGTCAAATTTTCCAGGAAATGCCAAAATATTTCTGGCAACGCTAGTTGCAATATTATCAAGTTTATTATATATTTTTCCTTTATTTGGCAAATATATTATTAGAATAATAAACTAAATCAAAATACAGTATTAATTTATGACTTAAATTACAATTTGTTTCATAGTATTATTATATTTAATGAACATATTGTTTATTGTCTATTAAATCCATCATATTTAATTTAGCCATTATTTATTTTGAAAATAGGATTGAATTAATAAAAACAGGGTTTCAATAAAATAAAAAATAAAATGAAAAAGATAACATATTAAACACAATATCGAGATTAAGTGCAATAAATTTATAAATGTAATTTATTAATTATTAAATTCAAATATACTGTATTAACTTTGGCGCGACTATAGTATTTGACCGGAGCGATAGAGGGGGGGTTATGTAAAGGGTTATGCTTTATATAATGTACATTGAACATTAATTTTTTGCTATTTTGTAAACAGTATAACTTTATATTATACTAATAAATGATTAAAATTTATCAATATTTCGATATACAGCAGTAGAATTGATTGTTTAAAGCAATGCTTGATTATTTAAATTCTTCCAAGATTTTCTCAGCAATTATGGTGTGAGCTATGTCAATTGAGTTGGTGTGGTTGTCGACAGCCTCTATAGTGATATTGTCATTGCCATCCTGGTCAGTTAAAAACAATAAATTAATTACGTAATCAAGTATTCCATAAATAAGTTGTAATTCTCTCTTATAGTCGTCTCTCTCTCTCTCTCTCTCTCTCTCTCAAAAACTTTATTTTACTGTAAACTGCTAATTATTTCCAACGGTGTTATAAACTATTGAAATATACAAATAAATTATTTGGTGATGATTAAGCTATAAATATATCTGAATCATTAAACAATCATTATTATGTTTATTTGTTGACCATTTCATTGTATAATTATAGACAATAAAATGGCCAGCAATACAGCATTAAAAAAAATAACAAAATAATTTTAAAAACATACATTTGCACCAGGTAGGAAATAAGCGTTGCGTGCCTTCTCCATAGTCTCGTCGACGTCTTCGCACAATTCAAACTTAAACGGCTTAATGATAACGAGTTTACCCGTCTTTTTGGACCACTTCTTGCCGATCGTTGTCTTCCATTTGTTGGACAACTTCTTCTTCTTTTCCATTCGATATTTGGAAAGCATATGAATCCTGTTTATCATCACTTCAAAGATTTCCTGCATATCAGTTCCCACCAGACCTTTACCGGCGAAGTCGCCCAACTCGTTGACTATATATTTAACTTTGCCACTCATACCCTGCTCCTTTTTAAGGTCGCGCAGTATTTTCTGTTTAAACGAATCGGGCAACTCTGACGACAGGAATGACAGCAAATATTCGAGAATATACTCGTCGGTCATATACTCGTCCCGGAAGTGGGAGTCGTCGATCACGTCGATGATGACCGCCCGCCCAACCATTCCCTTCAGCAGATACTTGAAGCAAATGATGGCGCCGTCGAAATAGCCCAATACATCGCACTTGCCTTTCGGCTCAAGCGTTTTCAGTAGCTTCACGTAATAAGCGGTCACCTCTTTCATAGTGGTCAGTGCGCTCACCTCACGGGTCCAATTCAGGCCGATTACGGGGCGGTTAATCTTTTGGGCCAACTCTTCCATCGCCGTGAATGACACCAAAATGGGTGGCATAAAGTATACGGGCGTACCCTTTGTCACAGTGTTTAGTGGGGTATGGGTTTTGGTGGGCATCACAAAATTCAGCTTTAGGATAGCGACTCTGGCCCTTTTGATATCGGCCATGTGCTTCTTCATTTCCCCCACAACACCCGCCTCGTAGTCCTTCAACATACCAATGGTTATCGTCTTCACCTGATTTAGCGATACCTTTGTATTCCAGTCCCTCTCCAACTCCTGCTGCAACTCAACGGCAAACATGGATTCGATGCCAATCTCGCCGAGAGTCAAGTGGTTGGGTGTGATCTCCGGGTCGATACCCAGCGCTCGCCACAGCTCTCGGATCAAACGTTTTCCTCGAGTACTACTTTCTTCCTTTGTTTGGTCCACTTTAACCTGTATTTTATTGATTTTGTTAAATAATGGCAATAATTCAAAATTATGTAATTTACATATGAAGTGACAATCGGTTGTTTAATTGCCAACAATTTGTCCAAAACATCGCAACACGAGTTGATTCGCTGTTTCCTCAGTGTTGAAAACAATAACAACTGATCTGTCCCTTCAAACACTCCGACATCACCGATGGGTCCGTATTGTATGGCGAGTCCGTGCAGACCATCCCTACGTCTCTCTTCACATATACGCTCGCAAATAGAGTTACCAAATGAATAGTTCGATTGCCCGGCGTTTCCTTTACCACAAGCCAGGGATGAAAAGACAACAAAATAATCCAATTTATAATCCAATTGTCGGGTCAGTTGATCCAGATTTGTGAAGATTTTGTGTTTCGTATCAATAGATGAACAAAACTTTTCAAACGTTAACTTTTCTATCAAACAATCATTCAACTCAAGCGCCAAATGAAATACCCCTCCAATGGGTCCAAACTTTAAGGCTTCGCTAATGAGTTGTTTTGTGCCTTCAATTGTGAATCCATTGGCAGTCGAGACAAACCATTCGCTCTCAAAGAACTTGAATTCTTGATATACGCTATGAATGCGATTGTAAATGAATTTCTGATAAAACGTTAACTTTTCTATCAAACAATCATTCAATTCAAGCGCCAAATGAAATACCCCTCCAATGGGTCCCAACTTTAAGGCTTCGCTAATGAGTTGTTTTGTGCCTTCAATTGTGAATCCATTGGCAGTCGAGACAAACCATTCGCTCTCAAAGAACTTGAATTCTTGATATACGCTATGAATGCGATTGTAAATGAATTTCTGATAATCAGTCTTAAGACCGGATCGAGAGGTGACCACAAACTTTCGGGCGCCGAAGTATTGCATCCATGGAATCAATTCCAGACCAAAACCACCCAAACCTCCAGTTATTATATAGACTTTGTTTGAATCAAAGAATGTCTTAACGCTGACCAACATTTCGGGCACAGGTTTTACTGTTTTCAAAAGCCCTCTATTTGTCTCCTCGTCTCTGGTTTTGATGACTATCTTTCCCGTGTGTTTACCGGTTGTCATATAACGGAACGCCTTTTCCGCTTCGGCAGCCGGAAACACATTTTGATTGATTGGTTTCACACAACCATTGGTGCAGTTCTTGTGAACCCAATCGTAAAACTCGGGCAAAAAGTCGTGACAATCAAACACAACGAGATCTAACATTACGCTAATAAAGTCAATGTTGCGAGCAAAATCAAACATGCCCAGTTTCTTATTCTGGACCATGTCGAATCTGCCCATCTCCACAAACCGACCATGGTTGGCCACACAACTATAGCTGGCGTCCAGTTTCTCTCCGGTCAATGAATTCAACACAACGTCGACTCCCTTTCCTT